TCAGGAATGCTGCAGCTGAAGTGCTAATTAACCAGAAACAAAATGAGGGATCAATAAAATATCTGCCCATTGTTCCTTTGATAATTTCACATTCCTATTTCATCCCTCAATCTTCCCTAAGTCTGCTTTTTATTCTCATCAAGGGGATAATAATTTTGGCCACTATTCTGATTCAAATTAGGTTGACATGCACTGGCAAGTGTAGCACTGGCCTTTTCTTCATGTGTCAGATGCACTATTTGCATTGCAGGACCTCTTAGTTGAGTTTTGGCCTAGTAAGTGTTGGTATTTTGTTTTGTTTTCACTTCAGTGAGTGGTCTCACCTTAATACTAATACAATCTTTAAAACACTGATCATTCTCTTACCAAAACTGCAGCTAGACAGAAGGACTATACTAGCCCTGCTAACAGCTGTATAGATAATTCATAGAACCATAGAATATCTCAAGTTGGAAGGGACCCATAAGGATCATCGAGTACAACTCCCTACTCCTTGCAGGACCACCTAAAACTAAACCATATGACTAAGATCATTGTGCAGATGCTCCTTGAACTCTGACAGGGTTGGTGCTGTGACCACTTCCCTGGGCAGCCTGTTCCAGTGACCGACCACCCTCTCAGTGAAGAACCTTTTCCTAATGTCCAATCTGAACTTCTCCTGATGCAGCTTCATTCCATTTCCTTGTGTCCTATCACTGGTCACCAGAGAGAGGAGATCAGCGCCTCCCCCTGTGCTGCTCCCCATGACTAAGTTGTAGGCTGTGATAAGGTCCCCTTCAGCCTTATTTTCTCCAAGCTGAACAAGCCAACTGATCTCAGCTGCTGCTCTTAAGTCTTGCCCTTGAAATAGTCTACCAGTGCGAAACCCGCTCCCACCTCGTTGAGGTATACTAAACCTCTACGTCCATAAAGCTAATGGCATCCAGTGCCACTCACCCATTCCATCTTCATGCCAGTGCCAGTTCAGCAATACATACGATTTTGATGGCACTTAATAAACCATTCTTGGTTGCAGGAACGGTCTCTGAGGACAAGCATTTATGACAAACTTTTCCTCAGTCCCATGTCATGCACTTTCTGTAGATCTATTATGCTCTTTTCTTTCCGTGTGACCTCATGTCAAATATATTTGGAGGTATTAATGCCCTATGGCTTAATTAGTATGGCTGCTTCTTTTTCTCCCTGGGCTGGGCTGAGGCGTGACCTGACAGGGCACTGTGTCAGATCTGGGAAATTAATTCCCAGTCATTTCCTCCCTCATCAGTCATCGTCTGCCTGCTGCCCTCAGACCTGATAATTATACAGGCAGTTCAGATAGGACTTGCTAATAAGGGAACATGGAGTCTTTGTTCTTATTCCTGGCTGCTGAGGCTGGGTCTGCTTCTCCTAAGCTTAGCTGCTGTGGTCAGTGGGGAGAGAATCTGTTCTCCCCAAAGTGCTTCATCCCATCCTAAACAAGAGACCCAATATAGGCATGTGTTAAGCCAATAATTCTAGAAGCTGATTTATCTTTGGTTTTAGCAGCACATAGCTTTTTTTTTTTTTTTTTTTTTTTTTTTTTTTTGCCAGCTAAAGCTCATTCTCATAATCTGTCCTAAATGTAGGCTGGTTTTGCCTGGGAAAATGTTTGTCTTCTTTCTCCCATACCTGCTTGCTCCTGGTAAAGGCTTACTGTAAATATTTACTAAGGAAGGGACAGAGTGGGTAGTCACACTTGGAAGATTGTTATGAGACCTACAGCTCTGGTCTCTACTCTTTGCTGCTTGGGTGACAGGGATGTGAGAATTGCACAGGGGTATGAGCCAAGGAAACAAATACGAACTGCTCTAGACTCCCTCACAGCATTACCCAACTTTGTATGGAAGGTGTGGAATCTCATGCTTTGTTAACTTTTATGTCGTATTTCAACATCAGTATTTAACCTTCTGTATAAAAAGATATATTTTCATTAGTTATACAATTGTGAATGGCCACTTGATAGGAGCAGGAGGCCATCAGAATGCCATGATGTCCTGGTTAGCACGTGCTGGTCACATGTGTGCACCCTCATTATGGCAAAAGCATCTCACTACTTAAGCCTTAAAAGACCTACACTGAAGGCATGGAAGCAGAAAAGCCCCACAACTTGGGTGACATAGTGTTTTGCTGCATTTTTTTCCTGGCACAAACACTTCCCAGAAAAACAGCATGAATCAACCATCTGAGCCAATGTTTAGTAGTCATGAATAAAGCAGTACTGCTAAGATTAAAATCATCTCCAATTGTGTTGTTTTGTTTTGTTTTGTTTTTAATTAAGTGGAGGTGGGCAAGAAGGTGTTGGTGAGGGGAAACAGCAAGCAACCTTGAGAAACTGTCTCAAAAAAGAAAAGGACCCTTTAGAAAAGTAGTATATTGTGGCCTTTTTTGTCCAGTACAACTCGATCAGTATTCTCAAGTATTTGTGTTTATTTCTAGAGTGCCAAAGGCAGATGCATTTTTTTCTTGGCGTTTTTATCTCCTGACTACCACAACACTTTTCTTTTGCTTTGTATCTGGGATCAAATGCACAGATTTTTTCTGTACAAACTGCCAGCATCTCAGTCTTCAGTAAATTTCTAAGGCACAGATACCCGACTTAGTGGCAGCGCTTGAGTTTTGCCCAGCCACCATCGCCGGTGCTGAGGCTGCCTCTGAGGAGCCAGACAGACCGAGAAGTCTCCGCTCCCACCATCTCCATCCTCACCCCCACACAGCTGCAGAGGTATTGGACCACTGCCCATTCCCAGCTGCAGAGGCTGCACACCCCAGCAGCCATTGCTGCTGGCTGGGTGCTCTGTCCTCGTTTGTGCCCTGCTCATAAAAATAATTTTTAAAAAGCTAGTCTTAGGTAGTATCTAGGGATAGGGTGGAAGCTTCCAAACTTACTTTTTACACTCCAACCTGTTTCATATTCCAGTTCAACAGCTGAATATCTAAACCCACAGCTTTCCCTAGTGCACTAAGCTGTGGCAGGAACCACAGTTGGGTGAGGAACACCATCAATATTGCTTGGGGAAGGCCAGGCAGGGTCCTCCCAACAAACTCTGGAACAGGATGGGAGTTTGGTCCACAACCATCCCCAACAGCCACCATGAGTGTGGCCACCCATTTCAAATGCTGGAAGTCCAACCAGGTGGCATGGCCACTCCACACCAGCTGGCAGTAGCACTTCATGCTGGCCCCAGCGCATTTAGCGTGCCAGCTGCATCAGAGTTCGAGCACATCCTCGCAGCCAGGACTAGGCAATTTAGAGACAGCTCCAGCCCTGGAACCGTGCACCTGTTTCAACACTGAGAGCAGGAGCGTGGCCGGAGCACAGAGCCTGACGCCTGGCTGGGGAGAGGCCGCCCCAGCCTCTTCCTACTCCCCCTGCCTGGGCGCACACACAATCCAAAAACCTCTGGCAGGGAACGTGTTATCTTAAAAATGGTATTTCATTTGCAGCAGTGTTCTGAGAAAAAAAAAGCTTGCTTGTTCATCAGCTGCATGTGCTGTTTCCCACAAACTCAAAACTAAAGGATGCTGCTGACCATCTCAGAAAAAAGCTACAAAGCGCCGCACGCAAGTTCTGTAAAGAAAATGTTTTATTTAAAGTGTTAAATACCATCACCAGAATGAGTTTGATTTACATTAGTTGGTGTTCATTACAGGCCTAATCTGCCCTTTTTTTTCTCCCCCACCTGTAATTCCTTTTAACTTTTTAAAACGTACTATGTACAAGACAGCAGTGATCACTGGAATAGTGCTATTTACATGACTAAACCATAAGTAGAGTTGCAGACGTGTGAAAATTAAAAAAAAATACATTACTTTTTTTAAAATAAATACTGCATAATGACAAGTATGTACAAACTTTCCATGTGTCCTGTCCTTGATTTTAAAATTTGAAATAATTTATATAGGACTATGCATACAAGAATGTGTGAGCACATCTCACAGTATCAGGAAAATGACTATGTATTTTTGTTTAATATCCTAGGGGATATTGTAGACTGCATGTTAGTAGTATTTATTTGCTGCTGGTAGACAGATGTCTAAATTATTTCAATAAATATAATTTTACCAGTCTGTCCATTAACTTAACAATAATCCATTATATAAACTCTGAAGACAAGACACAATCTTGCTTTATATGATATTGCACAAAGTAAAAGGCATTTTAAGTGATACTGTTATTACTTTTGCCCTCTTACAAGGCATGTACGATTTCTTAAAGGGAAACTTTAATAACTGATTTTCAAATAAAATCAGAATAATTCTGTGTGGCCTTAAAGGTAAATGTAATATATATTTCAAAAATTATTGCAAGGTTTCAATATTAAACCTTAAATAGGTATTAAAGGCATACAAAGACCCAGAAAAAAAAGGATATTTTGTTATTAAATGTTAGCCAGTTACATTCCCTTTAAATAATGTAATTTAATGAGAAGCTTGAACTTGCAGCACCACCCAATGGTAGTTACTGTCTGCTACAAAAACCAGGTTTTTGAAGATCCATTGACTGCAGTGAGGGTTCTGGTAATGGTGTCAAATAGCTGTTGAAGTGGTACTGATAAGCTTTCTTTAAGGCTATTTTACAAACCAAAGATTGACATTTTTTCAGACTGATATTACTTAATTATGACTTTTGAAACACAAGTGTAGTTTATGAAAATTGAACTTTACAGCAGAAGAACCGTATGAATTAGTAACCTTTGTTGCTTTTGAAATCTCAAAAATGTAGCAATTAATTTGGTTTAGTGCAAATAAAATCATTTAAATTTATTTTCTACAAATCAACCAAGTACTTTTTTTTTTTTCTCTTTCCAAAAACCTTCAAGAAATTATAGTTCAACCTTTGAATGAAAGATGCTGGTGCTGAAAACAAATTTACTGAAGACGTCTTACAATGGCCACATGATTCCAGTATTTTGCTGTAGAATTCAATTTGAAGGTGAGAAAAAATGAAAATAAGTTACCATGCACTGTACAATAAATTGCAAAAAGTTCAAATATCTTCTTTATCAAATACATGCTGAATTACATTAATGTACTCCCAAGCCATGTTGCAAAATCCTTTTCAACATGCTTGAAAAAAAAAAGTAAGTTCTTAAACAATATTTTTCTCAAATAATTCAGAAATGCAGAACAATCTTCAACCCTGAACCAAATATGGGGCATAAGAGAGTAGTAAGTCAAAAGGTAGCCATTTTAGAATATGATGATCATCCTAGGAGGTAGAGGGGGAAAAGAGCAAAAGGAAGAGAGGAGACTAGGAGGAGAGATAGAGAAAGGAGGAGGTAAAAGAAGTGTACAATTTGCACATTATGTTGAACTTTACAAGGCTTGTACCTTTTGCATTTAAATAAATTTAATATATTACACTTATTTCTTGTCACATAAACAGAATTTTAAATATTTGCTAGAAATTATTTTTTATTTTTAGTATATGTCTGCAAAAATACAGACCATGACTTGTTTAAAGAATGATAAACGTGGTGTGTCTTTGTATCACCCTGTTGCATTCTCTTCCCTTTAAAACCATGCACTAGTGAAATTTATTTTTAAAAATAATATAAATTGTTGAAAATGGCTGATTTATTCTTTTTTTTTTTTTTTGCAAGTTGCAGCCCCAAGAAAATAATTTAAGTGTTCAGCTAAATCTGTGTCCATGCAAAAAAGTTTCTTTAATTTCATACAGTACAGTATATCCACAGAATTTTATTTTTCAGAGAGTCCATCACATCTGGGGTTTCACTGTATTTATAGTTGGAGGTATGAAGCCTGCCACTTTAAGTCTTGAACCTTTTGAGTACGAAGAGTTTTCAGATCTCAAGCAAACTTGTTTCAAATGACAGTTGACTTTTCCACCATCCTTACATTCTTCTTTTCTTCCAATGTTTGCTAATTCACTGACTTGTAACATGGCTTCATGGGAGGGTAACTCCATTTCTGTGGCATAACCAGGCTTTAGGAGGGGAGGGCAGATAAATAAAGAAACAGGAGCAACAAAACAGATATGCCATTGAAAAGGACTTTTGTTGCATGAAACAGATTGATTCTTTTAGTTTAGTCCATGGCTTCAGATTGGACCAAAACTGAGTGTCCCTGAACTCCAAATCTATCAGTTCTTCATGACTTCAGTCCTTCACCTGAGGGCCTTCCATAGGGCACAATGTGTGCAACTTCCTTGAGAACACAGGATCGCGTTGCAGCCCTAGAAACAGGCTCAGAAGACACAACATTAAGCATGCAGTGTTACCAGGGTTTGCGACCTGTAAATTTTTTTTTTTTGTAACGCTGGTTGCTATGACAACAGTTTCACAGCTGCTATGAGCGAGCATAGGAAGGTCCTGTTGAACTTTCAAGAGATGATTGGGAAGCTCTTCTAGTGAGAGGAGCTAAAGTTGGGTCTACTAGAGAAGAAGGAGGGAAGAGTTTGAACCACCCAATCACCATGTTGGACAGGTCCAGTTCATCTAAAAGTATCTGTGCCACTCCCATAAAGGATTTGTGATCCATACGTCCATAATCTCCCCAAACAATTATCTGTTGGCAAAGAAAACAGAAGAAAATAGAAAAATTTCAGCAAAAATGCCAAGAGCTTCAATCTGATTCATCAAATGTCTCTGCTTATTTAATTATAGTACGTAATTAGATATGTGACTGCTGACAGTTTATTTCTGTGTATACTAATAATGATGCAGTGACAGAAATGACCTGGGCAGTAACAGAGCGGTTATCCATGATACTAAAGAAAGCCCGGTGAGAGAAGGAGCTCATACTTATAGCAGAAGCAAAACAAATCCAAAACTAACTTTTGCTCAACACTTTCTACTTGCATCAACAAGTAATAATACTACAGTAATCTCCTCAACAACTATTTGAAATAGCAGACCTTGGCAAATGAAGCACGAAACAAAGTTTGAAACTCATTCAGTGAAAACTGTACAGGTGACATTTTCAGATTCAGAAGAACACTGATGCAAATTACCTGTAAAACTTTGCCTTGGGGACTTTCTTCAAATGATAGAAGTTGCTGATAAAGTGGTTCCAGCGTTTTTCTTGCTACCTTTGTTTTCTTTTTGGCTATGCAGACTCCATTTTCTAATAGATACACCTTTACATATGGTGCTTAGAAGAAAGAAAATACAAAACACAGAACAATAAGTAAAGAAGTACAGATTTTTTGCAGAACAGATACACTGTTCTATCACCATGTGATAAAATCTGCCTTTTACTGGATATATAACTTGTATGAACAAATTTTCACAAGTAATATTAACATTTATTCTCGTGTAAAGCATCCATGCATTTTCTTTACTTTTCTCCCTGGTATAATTTTTTCTTTACTTTTTTTTATATGTCTCTTTTGCCATGAAACAATTCAGATTTTGACCTGAAAAAAATCAGATATTCCTATATATAGTATCCTTATACTGTACAGTATGCAAAATAGGCCTGTTAAGTAAATGAATGACTTGCATTGACTTTGGTGAGATGTGGATCAATGTTCCAAATTGTTAATAATTTAAAATTATCTACAAGGTGAAAATCAGTGAAGAAAAGACTCTGACACAATTTCTATTTTGGCAGAAGAGCTTGCTAAAAATATCATTATATTGTCCTTTTCACATAGTGTTATAGGACATCAGACTATAAAATAAGAAGTATCAAATACTGGACTACTTTTCAAGTAGGTAGCCATTTCACACCTCTTGTTGATTCTCTCTTCATCCCTAAGATTCCTACATCACATCTTCAGTATATACCTTTCTATCCCATAACCAAGGATACATTTGCTATTAATAAAATATTTTTATGTCTTCTGGTAGCCCAGACAAGAGACTGATTTTTTTTTTCCCCCTCTTGAAGTAGGGTTGATTTTTGTATATTTCAATTTTTGTATATTTCATTTCAATACATTATGAATTTCAGTGTACAATACTGTTATCTACTGACATGTGAATTTGCTAGGAGTTTACCTAAGTGGAACAGTAAAGGCTCAGAAGTTGGGGGTTCGTTGGATTTTTTTGCTAGAACTCTATTCTTGTTGCCAAGATTTTTCTGCTTTACCTGGCAGTGTCTTTGAACCTGGTTTTACAACAAGGCCACGGGCTCGGATTATTTCTACTTCCAGTTGTCCTTTCTTGTCCATCATTCCCACCTGGATATCTCCTAGAGAACAAAAAGAAATCCTGGCATTGTAATTCAGAAATACCTAAACATATTAAAAGCTATAGGAATTTCTAGGATGAATACGTGATGACTTGTATCGTCTCCATTCCACCAGTAAGTATGATCCGGATTTTAACACTACTAGATAATGTAATACTTATCCTGTGCACTGCTATTTACGTTAGCCCATGCCTCTACCACTTCAAATTATTTTTTTTTTCCTTAAGAATTTCAGATAACAATAAGGCTTAAGTGAATTAGTACAAAGCAGCTCTGTAAAACTGCTTGAAATGTCTTCACCATGCCTCTAGTTTAAGACAAGGTATGGGAAGATAACTAGTGAATATAAAAAAGTCTGTAAGCACAATAATAACAAATACTGTGCACCTGAATGCCCATTTTTATTCAATACTATCTAAGTAATTAAAAGAAAGGACTGGTTTCATTAGCTGAATTTTAAAGATGGAAAACTGAAGAGCTAAAAGACTGAATTTTTCAAAGCACTTTTCTACTTTTGAGTGTCTTAATGAGCATCCACAATTATGTTCAACTTCAGCTGAGGTTACAGTTTCGGTCTTAACTGAGTTGTTCAAAACCACACGGGAAATCCATATTTAAAAAATTAGATTCTAGATAATTTCTGTGTTCTAATTACCAGACCTAGTAGATTATATCATATCTATAGGACATAAATGCTTACCCATTGATGGTGTTGCCAAAGTCTGTCGTCCTACAAGCTGGGCAGGACCAAGTCCATCCAGAAAATCACTGAACTGGCTGTCCGCAGCCAACCTCACACCAGGGAAAATCAAACTAAAAAATAATATTTTTTAAAAAGTCAATAAATACATGTGAATTTGCCTTTTTGTTTGGTTGGTTTTCAGATGTTTTGCAGTTAGCATTTATATTTTTGGTACTACTGCTCATAAGGAACTTATTTACACTGACAAGATTACAAAAGAGTTACTGTAATTGTCAAAACTTCCAAGTGTGTAACAAGCAGCAATTTGGCCTCCAGCATATAACCAAACAGGTGACAGAATCACTAATCCTCACTGGGTCTAACTTCCACAGTAATATTTTTCCAGCATGCTCTCTTTTCCCAGTGTAATAAAGACCACTGTTAATTATTGTAGTATTTATATGAGACCAGTTCAGTAAGATACTAATCCATGCCTTTACCAGTAATTTAGTTACATGAAGTTAAAATTGCTTACATTTCTCAGTCAACGTGAACTCAATGGCTAAATGTCAAATGTATCCAGCGAAATTATTACATTAGACTGAATACTGGTCACTATTTTTAAAAGCAGCTTTTAAAATCAGCATTCATTATAAACATTTTGCTAAAAATGTGTCTTTGAAAATGGTATATATTCAATAATGGAACTGAAATCCATTGTGGCAAATGACCAAAGTAACTTAAAATTCAAATTCTTGACATAAATTATCTGTGACCCATTACAAGGCAACAAGAACTAATGAGATTTGTAATGACCAAATAAATGTCCATCTCAAGCGCATATAGTGCATCAACTTGGACATAGAAGATATACTGTCCAGTATAGGTGCATCATCCATTGCTGTGAATACCACTAATAAATCTATCCACAATAAGATTCTTCTGGGTGGTGTCTTGGACATACCACTCAGAAGTCTTTAACTCAGGCTTTTATGAAAAGCATAATACATGACAGTCTCACATTTCTGCCCAGATCATTTATTCAGGATTAATTAGCAGAATCTTTGAAAAAACTCTTGAGCACAGTGAATGCCACCCAGAAGTGCCCTGGAAATGCTTTGCTCTGCAAAGCAGAGGTAAGTGAGGAGTTTTCAGAAGAGAAACTGTCCTTTTCTGTGTTTTACCCAGTGCACTGCACCCGCTTCTGCTCCTGCCACTCCACATGCTGATGCTCTGACCCACCAGGCACTGCAGAAATGATCCTCATCCTTCCTGCACCAACAATGGGAGACTCTTTAGATCACAGGGGAAGCTGGGCTTGGTCTGTCAATGACACTAGCTTGTGAGAAGAATTTTGGCTAACAAGACCTACAGCGCCCACCTCAGTTTTGCTTATCTACCAGTTTCATGGAGAAATGTCACATAACCACAGTAATCACTGCTGCTTACTTTCCCTCGGAGCTGTAGCTGTTCATGCTCCCATCCGTTGACTCCCGGCTGGCCTGACGAGTCATCCAGTTCCTCATCTCCACAGCCAACCCTGTCTCAGTGCTCCTCTGGACAGTGCTCCGCAGCTTCTTTCCCCCTGCTTCTGTGAAGACAAAAGAGAAGCCCCCATCACACCGTGCTGTTGCAGCTGGGTGGCACACCACCGCTCCACGGGGCAGAGACACTCGAAGACAGAAATTAATGACCTGTACCAAAACTTATATTTTAAAATTACCTTTTTTTTTTTTTTTTAATAATAAGCAAGCAACATTGTAAATTTATTTTACAGGACCTTAGTTCTGTTACCATCTGCCTTCCAGGGACAGACAGCACACACAAAACACAACTCTGCCCACAGAGGTAACCAGATTTACACTATCCATAGTCTAGTGTGTTTGAAATATGTTTTCTCTGAATGAATACATCCCTCCTAGGAATTCAGTTAAAATGTTACCATTATGCCGAAATCTGCAGTGTCTGAGCAATGGTCTAATTCACATAAATTATTTGATTTAAAAACATTTGGTCATTATCTGCTAAATCAAGCTACAGATATCCATTAGAGAGCACAGTAAACAACCAATCAAGAACATTTCCCATTCTTTCTTCTCTGTTAATGCTCTTCTCATTTCACTAGCTGCTTTAACTTAATGTCTAAAAAATACAGTATTGATTTATGCACAATATGAAACTTTATTTCCACCTCCAGAAGTAACAATTTTTTTTACCTTCTTGCATAGTTTAATTTTAGTTGTAAAAACAGAAGTGACAAATAGCTGGGTATCAGTCAAGGGAAGAAATACTCAAAACTTAATATGGTAGCATTTTAGTGTAGAAATTTGATCAAGACCTCAGCTGGAAGAAATATTGAAAGTGCCACCAAAAAAACCCCCAAAACAACGAACTGAGTGGGAATGAAGCCTCAGTTTTTCCTTCATGAATAAGACAGTCACCCCATGTCATTTCTGATTTTAAATGCTGTTCCCTGCAATGGTGCAGGAAATTCTGTATTCCAATTTATTCTATCTCATCAATGGATAAAACTTCAGCAGAGCGATACATGATATACTGATAATATCATAAAAGACAAATAACTCTAAATAGACATGACACCAAATGATACCAGAATTCTTAAATATTGAAACAATGAGGGTAGAGAAATATCCAAGATACTCAAGGTATCTAGGGACTCGCCCTCTTTGGCAGTTTCTTTCTGCTACCCTTTCACCACCTCTGGCTCATCACATTCCAGAGGGCACAGGAACCGCTGGACCTGTGAGGTCAGTGAAGCTCTAGGGATTTGAGAAAGGAAATTACCAAGGGAAGAGATTGTCCTGGGAGAAGGACCCTCACACCCTGAGGAGTGAGCATAGAGGGTCTCTTAGAGCCAGACCCTTGGATAGAGAACAGGTCACTCAGTGTCCCTCTGTCCTACAGGCTGCAGTGTGTGTTGAAGCCTCCCAGGAGCGTACCCCAAGCCCTCCAGCCAGGAGGAATATCAGGTCACACAAAAAACATGGGAATTTTAGTGAAGTGGGAAACAGATATCCAAACCACTTTGAAAACCCACGGGCCCCTTGTCAAGAAAGATTTCATACCATTCCAATATTTATCAGTAGTGAGATGTTTCTATAGCAGTATCATAGAATCATAGAATCAGAGAATGGTTTGGGTTGGAAAAGACCTTAAAGATCATCTAGTTACAACCCCCCTGCCATGAGCAGGGACACCTTCCAAATGAATGGTATCATGAATGGTTCAAAATGTATCGCTTATTACAAGCCTCCTACGCATTTCTGAAGACCGTAACTTTTAATCAGTATATAAAAGATAACAGAAGTAATAATTTTGCTCTAGAACATCAGCTACCCACCAGAATTTAGTACGCAACAGAGAGAAATAATTTCTTTACTATGTCAAAATTACTTCAGAAAATGCCCATAAATATCTGGTACAATAAAGACAAATAAAAAAAAAATAGAAGGCTAACTTGACATATGAAAAATGGAGAGCAGAAGTAAAGAATTTGATTTCTATTGGGTTGTACTCTTCCAAGTGTCTGCTAGTTTTATTATTTAAATTAAACTAATGAAGGCTGGCAGCTGACTTCCAACCTTGTTCCAGAGTTGTTCTAAAATCCAGTCACTCATATCAAAGAAATATTCCCACAAAATTGCCTGAAAAAAAGTGCTGTAATTTTGCAGTAAAGGTACATTGTGTCATAGTTACATGTGAAAGGCACACAACTCCTGAAGTGCCATGCTCTTTTCATTTAAGTATTGTTACAGGATATTACTCTTCTGTTTAAGAGCTCTTTTGATTAGTAAACATTCATTTTTGTTCAGCCTTGCTGAATGGTGGTCATTCGCAGCTCATTGTTGTGAACATGAATTCTCTCACGCAAATTTAACAGACCATCTCCATCCGGCGTGATTCTTCAGTCTTTTCATATCGTAACTTTCAAAGATTTTGAGGCTTGGGATATGTATGAGTTTGAATATGTGATACGTGAAGGATTTTATAGTAATTTTTATTAACTAGTAAGGCAGATTTTTTTCAAAATTAGAATTGTAAGTCTGTATGCCTTTACTCTAGCAGAATATTCACAGAAAAAAAAATGAACACATCTCTTGCACATCAATTTACTGAGAAATCAAGGCAGAACTGATGCAATTGTTATTCAAGTCTGGCACCTGCGTTTCACCAGCTGTTCCTACCATCCCTCTAAATCTTATTTTTAAGTAGTTTTATTTTCCTACATTTATTTTAATTGAAATAAGTGCTCTGGTTCACATGAAGGCAGTTCGACAGCTGAGAAGATAACTTTGATACAGCATGAAGTTTAGCATGCACAGCATATCCAACTTTTGTTTAAGTGTGGGTTGGAAACAGAAATTATTTTGACCTTAACACTGAATTTAAGGAGGTCTGAAAGGAGGCTATGTAAATAACTATTTTCCAGTTTTTAACAGAAACAGGCAGAGCTTTCTGATGGTCCTAAAAGAGAAAGATCTGACCTCTCAGCAATAAGGCTCCTAATCATGATGTTTATGCTTCTTGAAATAAGAACTGAAGATTTAACAGAAAAACGTCAATTTGGAATGGAAGTCAGAAAAAGCTCCAATTCACAGACATGACTCCTGAGCCACTACTTTAGAAATAAATATTCTTTCAGATTAAGTTTAGCTAAACTAATATGTAATAATACACATAAGAAATACCTACACTTGATTGCTCACAATCCTAGCAATATATTAGTCCCTGGAAAAATGTAATAAATAAAATATGATCCCAAAATTCCTCAAACTACTGAAAAGCAAAGACAGGATTTATATAATCCATATTTTGTGTTTCATAAATTCAGTATTATAATACTTAAAAGGTTACAAGAAGTAATGAAAATGCAAAGCAGTTGCTCAACTCAAAGAAATAGCCCTTGGTGCCATACTTCCAAGTTGTAGGTGGTTGAAGGTCTGGTTGAAGGCCTTACCACTCCATGAAACCCAACCTATTTTCCCTCACCCCTGCCTAGAAATTAAAACCAACTCAGTTGTGCTGATTCAGTTAATTGTGTGGCTGCATTCTGCAAAAGGAACAAACCATCAATATGTTTTAAAGTTGTTCTTTTTCTTTTAAGACAGATCATTTCCCAAAAACATTTGTGAAAACAAACACACAGTTGAATGAGCCCAACTGAGGTGATGCTAATCTCTAGCTAGATTAATAATCTGGGAATGCATCTGCCACTAACATAGAAGTAAAGATGTAACTGGTGCCACTGTACAAGTAGAGGTTGGTTTAATAATTGTGAAGTATTTTTACATATGCACCCACTTCATCCACATTGGTTTTAATTCTACCAAAAGCAAGGATGCAGAAACAAGAGTCTAACAGTGCACTTTATTGCTAAGTATGTTGCTGACCACCTTCACTGAAAATTGTTTCATTAACAATTTACTAAATTCTAATAAAGAACATTGAAAATGTTATCTAAATTAGTATAACCTAACTGCCCTAGAAAGAAGAAAATTCTCTCAAATCCCCATCACAAAACATGGAATATATTATCTGAAAAACACTAGTTCATATTCTTGCAGCCATATTGTAAGGAGTGGAATAAATTACCAAAAATAATTGCTTTGGCATTTATGAAAGCACACTCATTCTTACAGTTAATCACACTGGTAATTTAACTAATATGGTTACTGCAAATAGACTCCACAGGCCACATTTTCCAAATTATACATGGAATTATCTGTTCCCACAACTTGGAGTGCAAATCAATTGCAAATTAGGGGCACAAAACTATTGATATGATCTTCAGTATCAGATGAGGACAAGTTGAAAACTGCAGTGAATGCAAGAGATTACCTTCCATGACCTGGGATCTAGCCAGATGAAATCTGCCTCGGGTGAGGAAGAGCAAGAGCTTCCAACAATTGCTCACCACAGGCAAGGAGCCTCAAGGAAGGACACCGCTGGTGCAAGCAGAGGCAGGCTGGCTATGTCAGTCCCTAGGTGGTATGTGATCTCTTGGTAGGACTTGTACTGAGTACAGAGAAGCTGTGGCTTCAGAAACACACTCAAATACTTGAGGTGCCTCTTCTCTGCTCTCTCCACCTCACCAAAAAGTCTGCATAAAAACTGCTTTGGTATTTTAATTTGAACTCAGGAGTTTAGATCCACAAAGAGAATAAGTTGCCTTTAACTGACCATTTCTCAAGAGTAAAGACCTTTATGCATCTAGAGATTGGCTCTGGGCATGGTAAGAACAGGCTAGATAAAATCATCAGAGAGTATAAGAACATTTGATCCTACCTAAGAAAAGGGGGACCGGGTAGGTCTTAAATTCCCTTCCAGATGCACAGTTCTGTGTCTGGAACAGCCCAGGTTTTAGCCACATTGAACAAGGCATGTAACTCCTGTGGAAGCACTGCTGGGAACCACAGCTGAGTTGTTTTTTCCCTTGTGTTACCTACAGACCCCAAGCAGCAGACATGGATTATGATCTACTAATGTAAGCAGGACTTAAGATTCCACTGTCACCTCACTTTGAGAATCTTTGAGCCCATCTCGCCTTGCCTCAGAGGCCAGTGCCAGCTACCAATTTAGGAAGCGTGGTGTTACAATTCTTCAGATTAAGTTTTTTCATAATGCACGCTATCAGCATTTATGAAGCCCAAAGAGCATTTGCAGGCCAGGGAGAAACTGTAACCAGGGGCTTTCCCTTACTTTGCACTTGTAAGGAAGAAGGAAAGACCTGTGTTACAATTCCTGCTACCATGAATATCTGAACATAAAATACTTGAGAAATTCCAACTGGAATGGGAATGGCCTGCCTTGGTAGCCCAAAAGCAGAGCTGCCTTCAGTAGGGAAGCTCTTCAGTATGGGAGTAGCCAGGTTTGGAAAGTCTGAGAGAGCCTGGACTGACAGCCTCAGTTTGCATTATGCATTTTTAAATTTTTTCGGAGGCCCCACTTGTTTTTCATTTTCAGTCAAGAAATACTTCTTCACTCTTGTACTGTGCCTTTGTGTTTCCTCCTCTCTCTTTCCTCCGGCCATCCTGGAAGCATGGATAATTAAGATTAACATTAATTAAGACAGCACCTAAGAAAAACTGAAAGAAAGAGAGATCTGAATCAGAGAATCACAGAATGGTAGGGATTGGAAGGGACCTCTGGAGATCATCTAGTCCAGACTCCATGACCTCTCCAGGCAGCCTGTTCCAGTGCTCTGT